TTATCATACAGCTGCAGCACTGCACTCCCAATATAATGAGAATAACAGGATCTCTTTCTGCAATTTACCCCTAATTAAGAGGAACAAAAGGGTAAACATACATTGCAAAAAATTTTGAGGTAAATCTTTGGCAGATCAGGTAATACATATAATATATATATATACAATATATAATTCAATCTCCCTGGCCATTACCAAAATTATCGATGCATGTAAAAATATTATTTTCACTAGATGAAATTTATGTCTATTGTAGTTTAGGTTAGTGCTGCATAGCTCTGAGATCTGATTTTGTTTATTATCCTCAATGTCATTACACTTTAATTAATGCTTTCTGGTGAACTAAGAGGGCACTTGGCCAAGGAATGTATCTTATCTTGTGAGTGGCACATACCTCAAGCCCATTTAGCTTGGATTCACAATTGGTGAATATATTTCTATTTTGGAACCTCACCCATGCAATTGAGGTCTGAGATTTAGCTGTCACACATTACTCTGGAAGTGCTGGATTCCTGAACCTCAGATCCTTTCCAGAAAATGTACTCCAAGAAAGCTGCAGTAACACTTACCAGAGTCACATAGTTTCCCACTGTTACAAATATTGCATTATGTGTACAATATACGTATTGTCCTTACATAGATCCAGAAAAGTCTACACTAAAACCAAAAAAAATGATTGAATTCTTTGTCATAAACTGGATATAAATTTGACCCTAACCTGCAGCTCACCCACACTTTAAAACTGCATGGCAAAACTTCATGGAAGAGCAATTCAGCTTGATTATAGAACACACCTCTTTTGGCTCAGAGAGCTGAAGAACAAGGGGGAATGGCTTTAAACTGAAAGAGGCTTGGTTTAGACGAGATATTGGGAAAAAATTCTTCCCTGTGAGGGTGGTGAGGCCCTGGCACAAGTTGTCCAGAGAAGCTGTGGCTGCCCCATTCCTGGAAGTGTCCAAGGCCAGGTTGGACAGGGCTTGGAGCAACCTGGGATAGTGGAAGGTGTCCTTGCTCATGGCAGGGGGTTGGAACAAGATTCCAAGGTTCCTTTCAACCCAAACATTCTATGGAGCTCTGGAGTGGAAAATAGAAACCAGGAGGTTTGCCTTGGGCACCTGTTTCCTCAGGCTGTTGGAACAGGGCACTGGCCTAACTGGACTCAGCACCACTGTTCTTATATTTTACTATGAACCTATTTTTTCATATCTAAAGAGAAGTTAACAAAAATATCCTAAAATGAGCAATCTCAGTCTAACACTGTGAGCTCCAGCTCATCAGAGAACACAGAAAATAAGCCATTGCCTTAAAACAGCAATAATGAAGAGGAAGCTTGAATTGCTTATTATCTCTGATGGTACAGGAATTTGAAACAACTCCTTTGCTTCTTTGAGGTGGCTTATAAATTCAAGAAACCACTCAATATTTCAGGCATCAGGCTCAGTATATATCTTTTAGGTACAAAATATTGTTTCCTTCACTGCTGAGTCAAACACTCATTTCACACATAAGATCAATACCAGGCACTCATTTTATGACATTTATATCATATGAGGCAGAATTTCTGCCAGAGGCAAGTTCCATAAGTCCTGATGAATTCTTGCATTGTTGAAAAGTAAATCTGCAGGATGAATAAGGAGTTATATACTTGCTCACCACTGGCTCTGTGATAACTGTTCTCCCATCAGAGTTCATGAAGGTTTCAGTACTGATTGATGCTACCATAGAGTAAAACATGTTGAAAATACCCACCCAAAATATGCTGTTGTCAGTTATAAACAAAACCTCACCTTCCCCTGTTGTTCACAGTCAGCACCATACTGGCTTGGAGCTTTTACAGCTTCCACTACACTCATGGTACTGCATGTTTAAAACTGCAGGCAGGAAGAGAAAATGGTCAGTGAGAAACTGGACTGAAAATAAAATTCTACTCTAGTTAATCATGAGGAGTTTGCTGTGTTGTGTTGGCAGGTCCTGAACACTAAAATTTCCCAAATGGGTTTGTTTTGTTCAGAAAGAAAAAATACATGGAAGTTGTTGTGGCAGAGAAATTTCCTTATTGGCCATGTAGGTAAAGAAAAACCCTTTCATGCATCAGACTATTTAGGCAATAATTTGACAGTTCACTAAAAGTAACTAATGGAAATGTGGTGTCAACAGCAAATTTGACATCTCTCATGGCACAGAGGCATCAGTATTTTGTTAAGAACATAGATTTGAAGTCAGTGTGTTATTCTACTTGTTCTTCAGACAACAGTGGTAAGTGGAACATAAACCACTTAGTTCTAAAAATCCTCAAAACACTGGGAGAAACAGAAATTGGCTTTGGTAATTAATATTTCCTCTTTTCCCCCTCTTATTCCAAATTTTGCTACTTTTGAACAGGATGTTCAAAAGGACCAAGAAAGTTGAAAGAGACTGATATTAGAGAGGGATATTCTATAAATATTACATAACATACACAAACGTTCCTAATATATAAAATGTTCCCATGCAAACTCATTGCATGAAATCTGTCTCCCAAGTGTGAAGTCAATGAGCACATTCTCATTAAACACCATAGCCAGACACTGTGATATTTTCATTCTTTTTGTTGCTGCAGCAGAAAAAGGGACTGTGGTTTCATAGAATGATATGGAAACATTTCTGAAATGTCTTTTGCAAGGTACATAAAAAAAGACAAAGCGTGCTAAGAGTGGAGAACTCCCTATCCTTTACATGCACAACTATGCTCAGAGGGAGAACAAAATGTACAACATTCCTGAAAAGTTTGATCTGAAGGATGCTTATATCTGAAAAAAGGAAATACACATTTAGGAAGCTGCCAGCACAAATTGCTTTCTCCAAATATATATAACTTTCCGTGGGGAGTACTGAGGCAACTGAGGATGGTGAGGAAAAAAAAATATCTCCCTACCAGTTCTTACAATGCTACACCTTGAAAATACACTCTCAGTTCAAAAAACACACTGGAACTTATTGGTTAAAACTTCCAGCAAACAAAATTTCTTTTCTATTTTTTAAGGAAGAAACAGTGAAAGCTACACAATGATCTGAGAGCAATGTCACCTGTAAATTTATAAAGGGAAATAAATAACAGGTGCGCTGGAAATTCAGCCCAGTTAACAAAAAATAAAATAAATCTTGATGGGAACAATGAATAATTCACAAGCCACATCACTGGAGTGACCACAGGCAGGTCTGTGCAGGGTCCAGGCTGCACTGTACAAATAATTTAGAGCTCAGAAAGAGTGAGCACTGCATAACACAAGTGCTGATTGCAGGCAATCTCCTGCAGGACAGTCAGCAGCTCTGCAAACATCAAGGCACTCCAGCACTGCCACAGCCCTGACTGCAAATAGAGCCAGAACCTGATGCTGCAAGTGGGGCTCTGATAGGGCCAAGACTTCAGTACCTTTTGTGGTGTTTGCTTTTAGAGGTAAATTGTGAACTTGACAGTTTACTGTGCAGAAAGGAAAATCCCCGAAATGGTACTACAGAGCTAAATTGTTCTGAGGGTTAGACAGGGTAAATGTATTCCTAAGAGAAATGTTGCCACTTTACCTGGGGAATCTCCTGGGGAAGCCATAACCAGTGTCTGAACAAAAAGACTTGTTACCCCTGAGTACAGCAGGAATTCTAACACAAGGTACACTCTAAAACCCATCACACTGCACTGCAGAGAGTAACCGAACAAAATTGGTTGTTGATTAGTAGTAGGGGTATGTGTTTCCTGCAGTGCTTTTAATCAATATTGCTCATGAAATTTGGCTGAGAATGGCTGACTCTATGAGGAACTCTTCCACTAAATTGCTAAATTCCAGAGACAGGCCATCAGGAAAAGTGCAGACAGAAGCCCTGACTTCATTTTTCAGAAGCTACAAAAAAGCCTTTCACAAAACAAAGGGGCTGCAGATATTCCTGAATAGCACATGGCACTATGTTCCCCCAAAGAGGTTCTTTCTCTGCACAGATCCTCCTTCATCATCCCCAGTTCTGCTTGATCTTCTGCAGTGTGAACATGTCAAGAGATGCAAGTCCCTGTTCAGCAAGAACACCAGAAGACTCTTGAACCTTGCTAAGCCTTCACGTATCAAAGTTGCAGCTGAAAAGAGCCATGTACTAAATATTAACTTTCAAGTAGCGTCAAAATCTCAACTGAAATTTGGACCTCCTACATTTGAGCTTCCTTGAACACGCAATGACCGCCCATATCGCGAGTCCAACCTGGAATTTCAAAGGGTCATGATGCTGGTCAACCCTTTCTCTGCTTCCCAGTTACAGCTGAGATTTCTCATCTTCACCAAAAATCCAAACCCCAGACGCTGGATTTTGATCACATGCTCAGCAAAGGAAAGAACACAAGGCTGCTTCAAAGTCAGCCAAAGTCCATGCAAGACTCCAGTTCACTTGAGCTGGTTTTGCATTAGAGGTGCAATCCCTGCTGTTTGCACTTAAACAGCAGCATATCACTGTGAGAATGTCATAAAATACCTGTTAGGTAGAATTTTTCAATAAACTTATTCCCAACACTTAAAAACTAAAAAACCATCATTAGTCCCACTATAAGACAAGGGTTATTAACCTTGAGTATTTTATTTCTGTGTATAAGGACAGGAATATATCTGCACAGGCCTATAAATCAGTCAAGTTTAAATTGATTTTTGTTTGAGATCAGAAAGTGAGACTTACAGGATGCATGCCAGGAGTTTATACAGAGGTGGGTTTTATTCATTTAGCCTGGAAGAAGCAGTCTAATAAAAATAATAATCATCTAATAATAAAATAAGCTGGCAGAAAAGTCTGTTCATTTAAATATTTCACATGCTCATTGTTCTCTGCACACAGCTGAAAGATGGCTTTCATACAACTACCTGCTGCTGGGATTTGTTTATCTCTGATACCAGTGACTCAAGCAGATCCATATTGCTTCTCCCTTGGTGTTTTTCGTTACTGGTTCACAGACTGTTCTTTTATTTAACTCTCTCTTTGTTTTGTGTCAGGGTGAGTGTTCCCAGAAGTGCTATTACATCTTTGTCATAGAGACCATCTGCGTGGCTTGGTTTTCCCTGGAGTTCCTCCTGCGTTTCATCCAGGCAAGGAGCAAGTGTCAGTTCTTCAAAGGACCCCTGAACATAATTGACTTCTTGGCTATTTCCCCCTACTACGCTTCCCTCATCTTCTCAGAGGACGACTCCAACGAGGAGGACGACAGGCCAAGCAGCAGCAGCAACACATACCTGGAGAAGGTTGGTTTGGTGCTACGGGTTCTACGTGCCTTGAGGATCTTGTACGTCATGCGCCTTGCCCGGCACTCCCTGGGCCTGCAGACCTTGGGCCTCACAGTTCGGAAGTGCACACGGGAATTCGGGCTGCTCTTGCTCTTCCTGTGCGTGGCTGTCACTCTATTCTCTCCTTTGGTTTACCTGGCTGAGAACGAATCCGGGAGGGTGCTGGAGTTCACCAGCATTCCCGCCTCTTACTGGTGGGCCATCATCTCCATGACCACTGTGGGCTACGGAGACATGGTCCCACGGAGCGTCCCGGGGCAGATGGTGGCTCTCAGCAGCATCCTCAGCGGGATCCTCATCATGTCCTTTCCTGCAACATCAATATTCCACACGTTCTCCCACTCCTACTCAGAGCTGAGGAAGGAACACGAACGGTTGCAGTCTCAGCTGAACAGAGCGAAGAACGCCAACCACGCCGGTGAGAGCGACACCTTCAACGAGACAGACAGCCTGATCCTGGAGGAGCAGGCATCTCCCATCAAATACATCTACACAGGGAACTGAGCCTGGCTCTAAAGCATTCCCAGACACAAATCAACAAAACACACAAAGCAAAGCATCAGCATAGGTGACAGCACTATCATTTTTTCTGGCATAGGTATAAGCAGCAGTCAGCCCAACACAGCCAGCTCCAACAAATCCCCACGGAGCTGGAGGTTGGGAGAAGGTCAAAAGTCAGTTTATTCAATAATAAATACTCCTTTCTCTGTGACTAACAAGAATGAACTTTGTCTCTACCATCATGTATCTTGCTGAATACCTAATAACAAACCAGCTTCTGTTGGCACAAACACACTCATTATTTTATTTGCCTTCGAGTTTCCAATGTTCTTGCAATTAATATCTTGAGCCAAGCATTAGAACGCATCCTTTGAGGGCTGGTGTTGTTATACAAAGTTCATCCACCAGGCATACAGATAAAATCTCAATTCTGTATCTAAAGCCAGTAATATGCTTAAAATAAAATGACCGTATGTGAAAGCTTTCAAAATTTGCCTGTAGCCAGATGATCAATCTCTAACTAACAAACTGCACTGCTATTGTATAAAACAGTGTTTGCAAGAGCATTTGCTTGAAATGCAGCCACAGTCTGCAGACTGTAAAAGTATCATACTAGACAGCAAAAGTCTTCAAATTTCTTTTTCACGTATTTATTTAAAATAATAATGAGGAATAAAAAAGCCCAGGCTTATTGACCACATTAAAAAGTGTTGGTGTTATCTTTTTCACTGGATGGTGATAGTTCCTCTAGAAGAATGCTAAAAGATAGACTTATTGAAAATGAGATAACTCAGAAGTATCCAAAGGTATAAATAGTAAAGAATGAGGTAAATGATTACTAGAGAGGAAGTGGGAGTGATTTCCTAATGCTAATGAAGATGTCCCTTTTGGGATGTCCAAGTATAGCCAGAAGGAAGTAATATGAATATGCAGAAGTCAATGCTGCTTCATGGGACAATCTGGATGGTCTTGTACAATTTGAGCTTTTGGATGGTGTGAACAGAGTTGGTGAAAACCAAATCTCAAAGGCCAGGTGTGCACAGACACCTGTGTGTTCAGCCCCACATCACTCACAGTGCACAGACAGTGCTGTTGACACCCCCAGGACATTGACACGCCGAATTTTGGGCATGTATTTAAGCACGGAGATTAATCAAGGCCTAAATTGGTTTTTAATCAGATTTTCAGCTTTCATTATTCCATTTCTTAAATCTTGCCAAGGTCCCCACGACTTTGGGACAGAGCAAAGCTCTGGGAAGTGACCGTTCCCTGGAAGCAGCTTTTGGCAGGCACTGCTCCCACAGCCCGGGGCAGTTCGGAGCCCAGGAGGCACTTCCAGCATTGACCCTTCTCCCACCTGGACACACAAACACTTGCAGAGTTCTGCACCTTCCTGCAGGCATTTGGTGTTCAGAAACTCTCCTCCCCGAGCTGCACGGTTCAAGTGCAGAAAAGCACAGTTGTTGGCACAATTGGGATGACGTGACTGGGATTAATCTCACGGGTTTATCTTGCTATTGACCTTATGATTTAAACCAGAGGAACTGTAGCAGATTATAGATGGGATGTTCCAACACAAGTGGAACAAGTTGACATTAGATAACAGGTATTTATATTTGCCACACAAAGGGTGAAATTTCTCCTGGTTTATGCTTAGGTCGCTCTGATTTTTTTTTTTTATTATTTTTGTTTTTCACCATTAGCATTTATTTTTTTGCCAGGAATTCTCTATTGAGATGGTAAACCAGGCAAAATCCCACCTTGATCTGGACACAACCCAGACCTCTGCAGGGTCCTATGCATGGTGATGCCATCTGCATTTCTCTGAAGAGTCTGCATTTCTTTACAGTTAAATCCAGTTTCTAAGGCAAACCAACTGCAGACTGCCACAATACCCAGCCCACTTCTGCCCCTCTGGTCTGGCAGAGCCAAAGCAGTGCTTGCTCCTGCTGACTGGGGACTCCTGGGACACATATCCTGATGCAGAATAGCTGCACCTTTTAACAGACATTTCTCCCCACTGACACATACTTTGGAAATAAAATCAGGTAGGACAACTGGTTTGTTTTTTCTAATTAACAATTGCCTTGTTAGCTCATGACTTAGTTCAACATGGTCCCACAGAAAATCAGCCCAGCCTGTTGTTCTAAACATGTAGATAGCTGGAAAAATATTGGGGATTTTGCTGCTCAAGTCCTTGTAATGTAGGTGGGACTGTGGACATCAGATGCTTCCAAAATCACAGCAATCCAAACCCTGACTCGGTCAAGTGTTTAAACTTATGTAAGTTCTTCCAAAACCCAAGAATGTGCTGAAACACAGAGGTAACACAAACAAGCAAATCACCAATGTCTGACAGGGAGGCGAGTGTTTGTATTTTCAGCAGAACCAGGTTCATCACACATGTTCCTGATTCTAACCTAATCTCCCCCTATAGCTGGGTCTGGGCTGCACCAGCTTTCACAGAAAACATCCTACATGATTCACTGTGTTACTGGGGAGGGAAAAAATATGTTGAGAGGAACATTTAGTGCCCATGTAACTCAACTGAGTAACAAATTCAGAACAAGCTGTTACAATTAGCAGATATTGTTGTTGCCAAGATCATATCATTTCATAACCAGATTTAATTAAAAGAGCAGTTTAGATGCCTGGCACCCAGCTTCTCTTAGTTCAAAGCCTTTTCCCTGAATCTAAACCGCAGAACCAACAGAGGAACAGCACCCATCACCCAGGAGAAAGCAGGTTGTTCAGACCTTACCAATGTATTACATCTCTTTTTAAGCTTCTAATTGCTACTCTGGCATAGCAACGACTCCTGTTGTTGTTGGGAGCTGTAAAAACCCCCACCAGGCTGCTTTTTTGGGGAAGTTGATAAGACACCCTGCTCTGCAAGCCAGATACAGACACCAGTGTGTGGCAGAATCACCTGGAAACAAACACAACATAGGAGCCTTCCAATTGTTCTGACTTGCAGCAAAACACAGTGAGTGGGTTTTTATCACGGGCTAAAAGCACATTTTCTATGATGTTGAAATTGCAGTGAGGGGTGGAGACCTTTGCTCTGACCTAACTCTCATTTCTTCAGGCATTCTGCAGATTGTTTCAGGTTTCTCTGCAGCCCTGATACCTCCCAGCTCCTCTCCAGCTGTTTCTCCTTTTTGACTTTCATTGGTTCCTCTGGCAGAGAAACATTACATAAGATGGACATATTGTTATTTCAGTAATGAACTCCCATTAGTTTCATAAGTTAGGTATTTTATTATTTCAACCTGCTGTTAGACCCCCTGAAAGTTGCTTTTCATCTGCCTTTGGCAATCTGAAGTTTGCATCCAGTCACTAACATTCATAATATAAAGTTACCTGCTTTATTATTTAAGTCACATATATTCATTAGAAGGAATAGGACATTATTTTAGGAGCAAATTGCAAAAGAATTCACTAAGTGTACTGCACATTCTAGGCATTAATTATAGTAGAACTATTTAAAACTTGCACTGGTCAATAATTTTGTTTCAAACACGTCCAAACATTCTGCAATTATTTTGATCAATTAAGCACATCTACTGACAGAAGTTAAACTCAGCATGACCCTTCTGCTTTTATGCCCAATGTAAGATTTTCCTCCCTCTTTTTTTTTTTTTTTTTGGTTCAGAAAATTATTTTAATACATTGCAGTAATCTATAAATAATGATGAAAACCTACAAGGTCAGGGAAAGGAAAAGCACAGCACATTCCCTGAAGGAGCATTAGAAAGTTTTAACTTCTACAAGTAATAAATTATGAGCCACATGTTAAAACAGAAACAAGGCCATGTTTCCTAAGTGGAATCTGGTTTCTGCATGGTAAAAATTGAGATATTCCAGCACATTTGACTCAAAGAATTAAATTCCTCCTTCTGAATTGTTTCTTTCTGTGGCAATGGATGAGCTGAGCTATACAGGGCTTTAACCTCTCCCAGGTCCTAGGCATGGAAAAATATCCAGCTAAGTCCTAAGAAAAAGGCTGCAGATCTGGTTAGGAAGCTCCAGTTCTTAACTTTCAATGTTAGGATGCATCCTAATACTCTGGGTTAGTTTATTTTTATTTCTGGATGACTAAATTGATACTCATCAAAAAAAAAAAAAAAAAAAAAAAAGATGAGAGAAAGAACTAAGGTCTTTCCCCTCCCCTTGTGCTCCTGTCTTTACCATTTTCCTTCTGATAGGAGATAGCTCTCAAAAACTTATTTTCCCCAAAGTTTAGTGTTCCTGTAGTTCCCTTATGCCAGTGGAAATGCTCACAGAGGGGAAAAAACCCCTAACCCAAACCTACTGCACTCTCAGAAAGATCTGCATTCAGAGGAGTACCACAGAAACCCGTGTAAGAAATCCAAGCCTGGATTATCCACACTAAGCAGAAGTGCTTAAGGAGCACCTGAGCAGATTATTGCAGTAGATTCAGCAAGAGGGATAAAAATCCAACTGGGATTTCCTTATTTCCATACTTGATTCCTGCCCTAACTACAGCAGTTGTAAAAATCAAACACATATCTAAAAGGGAAGGGCAGTAAAAGGCCCTTCAGATGTTTCTCTTCTCAAAGTTACAGCTTGTTATGTCATCAGTAATAAGTAATAAAACATAATCATCCTGAAACAACACCTCCATATTTGAATATTATATGAAAAGCTTCAGGCCTGACAATTTTGTTTAAAGAAAATCATTTAGGACTTAATGTATTAGCATAGAACACCAGGCATGCATGTAATAAAGTCATAATATCTTCTGATATGTCCTGCCTTCCACTTCCAGTGTTCAGCCAAATATTAGTCAGTCAGACAGTAACCACGAGTCAACAGGTTTTGTCTCAGCTTATTCAAAATAATTTCTTTTCACCAAGAAACTGTGACCATTCTCAGTAAGAACAATTGGAGTGAAACAGAATTTTGCTTCTGCCTGGAGCTCAAGCAGATGAGGTACAATTTCTATTGACCTTGTAGGGCAGTGAAGCCTCTGAGGATCCAGGGATGTTTCACTTGATTTCAGACAGACAACAGGAGCATTTGCTGCTGTTCCACCACGTGCCTTTAACTCCACATCCAGGCCCACATCACTTCCCAGACAGACAGGACACAGAGCATGTCCTGTCCGAGTTCCATGGCTTTTGTTTTCACCTGCCTGCTTGGGAACCCCGTGTCAGGAATTGTTCCTTTGCTGTACAAAAAGCCATCTCATTAAAGACATTTCTTATTAAAATTCATAACCTTAAAGATACTGTGTGAGAAATACTAAAGATAATTGGATTGCACTCATGAATAGAGCATACTAATAAAACAAAGAAAGTGCTTTTATATCCTTCAATCAGCAGCTCCTGTACTGTCCTTTAAGTGTCTTACACAGTCTTTCAAGAAAATATCCATTAACATTTTCTAATTAAGATTTCACTTGCAAATCACTGTTCTTGAAATATCTTCACCAGGACAACAAAGCAGGTAACACTCATAAGACTTTATGCCTTGAGGATCTGCTTCTCCAAATGATGTAAGTTCTCATTAGTCTGATGCTTTACTTTTCCCTGCCTATCCCAAACTTTTCTGAACTGCTGAGTTCCACACCAAATTAGTCAGAGTTCTGAGAGACTTTTAGACGAGTATTTCACAAAAATCATCTCAGCTCAAAGACAAACTCGAAGAGATTTCAAAGCTTCAGAGAG